ACATGAAGCGTGCATGAACAAATGGGGAGACGCCTCTGAGAGACACAAAGCGTGCGTGAATAAATGGGGAGACGCCTCTTGCACTGGGACAGGACAGCTCGGAATCGCCCACAAGTCAGTCCTTCCTATGCTGGCTTATAAATGTAACACAATCCCAGCAAAAACACCAATGAGCCTCTTTACGGAGCCAGACAAGCTGACACCCAAGTTCACGTGAAAAATCAGACCCCAAGACCAGCCAAGAAAACCCTGGAAATGAAGACATGCCAGACACGACCTCTGAGACATTAAACATCCTAAAAAGCCTGTATAATTAAGCCAGTGCCATCGCAGCACATGAAAACCTGCGGCCAGAAGAAGCAGGCAGGAGGTCCAGACACAGACCCAGGCACGCCCAGAGGTGGCGTCTCAGCGACAGAGGGGATTCTTCCTCGAACCGGGAGGGGTCAACTGCCCCGCTGCTGGGAAGGTCAGGCTGTCTTCCCCACTGCGCACAGGGTGGTGGGGTCTGCTCTAAGCTCCTGACGGGGCCCACAACTCTGCACCTCCTTTCCTGCAGAGCAGAGGAAACAAGGTGCACACCAGAAACAGGAGGTCCCTGGACAGCCCTCCAGGGTAGTCTCAGCCGCAGGCCAACCCTCTGCTTTGGGTAGACTGGGTGGGAACCTGATGCATCATGGCTTGCGGTGGCTCCAGCTATAGGTGGCCACTGACACCCTCGAGGTCATCTCCTCAACTCTCCACATGGCCTAGCACTGGCTCTCCCAAAGGACACAGCTTCAGTTCGTTCCAATCAGTCCGACCTCATTCAATCGAATACGCACACTACTCAAATCACACTGAATTATGATACTCAGTAAACATCTGTAGAGACCTGTGGTGACATGACATCATGCTACATAAAAACGAAGAGGAAGCCTGGACAGCATGCGAGACCCCGTCTCTACGAAAATACAAAAGTAGCCAGGTCTGGAGGCGCACGGCTGTGGCCCCAACTACTTGGCGGGCTGAGGCAGGAGGATTGCATGAGCCCAGCAGGGCAGAAAAGCCTTTCCCAAAATGAGTGTGAGGGTGTGTGTTCTCTGACAAGAGGGCTGTGCTAGCAAATTTGTTTTTGGGAAACTGCACTGAAGCAAAATGAAAAGGCCTCTTTCCTGCAGGCTTTCTGGAAGTCATGGGTGAGTGGATAGGAAGGAGGCACACAGCATTTCCTCAGCGGGGCTGCCTCGGAACCATCTGCTCCGCAGCATGCGCTCTAGAGACCGTGCCACCACAGCACGCCACCAGGAACCGCAAACGTGTGCTGGAGAATGTGTCAACACAGCACGCCACCGGGAACCACAACCGTGCTCTAGAGAACGTGCCACCACGGCACGCCACCGGGAACCGCAACCGCGCGCTAGAGAACGTGCCACCACGGCACGCCACCGGGAACCGCAACCGCGCGCTAGAGAACGTGCCACCACGGCACGCCACCGGGAACCGCAACCGTGTGCTGGAGAACGTGTCAACACAGCACGCCACCGGGAACCGCAACCGTGTGCTGGAGAACGTGTCAACACGGCACGCCACCAGGAATTGCAACCATGCCAACAACGGACTCCTCAGCACTATCGTGAAAAATTCTGAAACACTCTTGAAATGAATTTGGAAGGGTATTTAATTCAATTTAAAAATAAATGCTACTGGGCAGTATCACGGTCTGCACAAACACTTCCCAAACTGTTTTAGGGAACCCAAAATGTTAATGGGCCTTTTGAGAAAAGGGTTCTGTGATCAAGCGAGCTTGGGCAAAGCTGGCTCGCAGCAAATGGGAGGCTCGCACCTCATTCTGCAGTCACCACTTAACCAGCCAGCACCAACAGCGTCCTGTGCACACACATGCATTCTGCACTCCACAGGCCCCGCGTCCCCAGAGGTCTGGGCAGTGTCAGACTCAGCACTGGCACGTGGAGTGCA